GGCTAATTTTTTGATTTTATTGTAGAGATGAGATCTCGCCAAATTGCCCAGGCGGGTCTCGAACCTGTGGGCTCAGGCAGTCCACTCACCTCAGCCTCCCAAAGTGCAGGATTACAGGCTGTGCCACCGAGCCCGGCTACCAGATTCTTTTCATGTAAAACCAAGCAGATTAATTAACTATTGCTTTAGTTATTTATCTCTTTTTGCTATTATTGTGATTATATCAATTATGGTAATTTAAGTAGGTCTTTTGCTCTAAAGAGCAAATGTGAATTTTATATAGAAATCCTCTTAATTTTAATTGTATTGAAGGTTAAAGTAGAACCTAAGAATTCCAGAGTTACTTAATAAAAGGAATATTTTCATTATTAGTGTAGTTTCTGGTAACATTTGATTTATTATCTTTGACTATTACTCTTTCTGTTTTGTGTCTTTTATTCCTTTAGTTTACGTAGATTGAAAATCACTGTGATCTCTGCATCAATTTGCAAGATACGTCCTTTAGACTTTTTTTTTGGTGTGGGAGTTATGTGCAGATGTTGATATGTGCATGTGATTGGCAGAATTAAGTATCTGTATTATAACACTTATTATAGAATATGCTCAATTATATTATTCATTTAGAATAGGCTTTTAATGAAAATTTTTTATTGAAATAGAAGCATAATACATGTATCAGAAATGTAGAACTCTTTGAGTTTTTAACAAATGGATTCTAACTGTATAACCAACATCCATATTGAGAAACAGAACATTACCAGTGTCCCATAAGTTCTGTCACTGCTTCTTCCAAGAGTAACCGGTATCATTATTCCTAACTCTGTATATTATTTTTTCCAATTCTTATTTAACCATTTACATACAGTATGTACTTGTTTGGGGCTTTCCTTCTTGCAGAATAGGTGCTTTTAATTATATTTTTCCATATCTTTATTGATAGGTGAGAAATAGTAATTATATTTAAATAAAAGTGTTTGACTTGGTCAAAGATCCTTTTTAAATCTTTATTAAAATGTCAAAATTGGGTATCAGCATGATAGAATCAGTCATAGTGTAGTGGGAAGATAGAGAGGTTGTGACACCGAGACTATTATAGGAAGTGGCAACTTTATTACACCGGCAGGCTGGATGGGCTAACACTTTCAGGTCGAGCCCCCCAGAACGGGAGAAGAGGGATCTTATACCTTTGTTTAGGTAAGGGAGGGGGTCGTGTTGAGTGATTACACGTTTTCTTTGGAATTTACAAGGTTGTGTTCAGAAAAATCAGATCTTTCAAAGAACAAATGGTCTCCAGGAAATGCAGGGTGAGCAGGGGCTGTAACCGTTAAGGAGAGCAGTTGTGAATTAGGTACTCTTTCTTTTGCATTTCCATGAGAGCCATCATTCTCTGACCATTTGGCCTTTTTCTTTTCTTTTTTTTTTTTTTTGAGTTGGAGTCTCACTCTGATGCCCAGACTGGAGTGCAGTGGCCGCTTCCGGCCACTGCAACCTCCACCTGCTGGTCTCCAGCGATCCTTCCGCTCAGCCTTCCAAGTAGCTGGAATTACAGGCACGTGCTAACACGCCCGGCTAAGTTTTTGTAGAGATGAGGTCTCACCAAGTTGCCCAGGTGGGTCTTGAACCCGCGGGTTCAGATAATCCACTCACCTCAGCCTCCCAAGGCACGGGATTACAGGCTGAGCCACCAAGCCTGGCTCATCTGGCCTTTTTTAAACAAAATCGGCCTGTCTGGTCTTTAAAGCTTGCCGCTTGACTTTCAAAAGGAAATACCTTTACCTGCTACCAGCCCCATTTCTGCAACAGGGTTCATGGGAGACAATCTGTCATTCCAGGTGATTGCCATGGAGCCAACCGCTGACCCCAAAGCAGTTATTCATGTGTTTCTGTGTTCATTCACTTATTCATACAAGAAATAAATTTTAGAATTTGCCACATTTTGCCACAATAGCTTATCAGTAACATTTTGATTCATTATAGAATACACGTATAACACTGTGCCTTTCCTCTTCTTTTAAGAAATAAACTATGATTTTTTAAATTTCTTGAAGGAAAAAAGGACATCGGTGCCTGTAATTATTAGCATCAGAACTCAAATAAAAAGTACTCTACATGAAAAAGAGGTCATCTGTTTTATTTCATGACTTCAGCACTGTATCACCATAGAAGATTGTCAGTCCTTTCTGCCTCTTTGATAATGTGTTTTGGTATCAGGGTTTCCTGAGGTTTTCAGGTTGGTTGTATCAAGACTTAATTAAAAAAAAAAACTAACTTTGTGTGTGAGATAGGGTTAATGAAATTATATTTCTCTGGCACTTAACATGAGATTGAATTATTTAGCATGAGAGTATTATTTCATTATTCTCTGTCAGGTATTTCTGTGTCCTCCTTTGAACTTGAGAGCAGACAGACACATCTTTTCTGTACTGAAATCCAAAGTGATCTCATGTCAACTCTTAATGGCTTCTGGCATTTTTCTTTTGAAATCTTTTCACTTTCACCTACTAATCTTATTTTCATAGCCATTATGCTTTCTGGTTTGATTCTATTGGTGTACTACTGATTTTTTTTTTTGGCCAGTTTCTTTGTTGGCCTCTTTTTTATTTCCATTAATACTACGCATTACTCAAAGTTCTGTTTTGGGCTCCTGCTCCTTTTCCTCTCAGTCACTCTTAATAACTATCAAATGTATATTTATATATTTAAATGTATGTTATCTGCATGGATTCTTATTTAAAAATTTCTAAACTTGACTTCTCTTTCTATTTGTGACATATATTTTTACACTATGCCTCTATCTTTTAAACATTTCAAAAAGAACTTCTGCTTTCCTGGTCTTCCCTCTCTCTCTTCTACTCATTTTTTCACCACCATTGGCAGCATCACTGATCTTCATGAATTTAAATATATTTGCAAATCATTATTGCCTCAACATTTACTTTTTGCTGCTAATGACATTAATATCACCAGAGAATTATTATTTTCTATAATAGTTTTGCCTTATTAATATATAATATGATCATCTCTAAAAGAGTTTTTTACATAATAAACATATATTGATAATTACTATTTCTGAGATAAAAATCAATAGAACTGCGAGTAAGGAAGAAATCATTTTTCCTCTTTTATACTTTAGTAAATGACTGCCACATTTTTCCAAGAGTTGTCATGTAAGTGTGAATTTCTCCTCAAAGGTGCCTTAAAGAACATTAACAAACAATATCTTCCTTATTTTCTTGTTATTTTAAAAATTTATCTTTTTGATACAAATGCCTTTGCCTCTGTGTTTTTGGTATTAATTTTATATGTGAATGATACACCATTAGAAGTATATTTATCCATGTGTTATTTAAAATCTTTCATTATGTTAAGTCTTTGAATTTTTTTGGGGGGGTGTCTAACTCTGAGTAAACATTTTACTTGAGTAAGGTAACTTTTTCCATCTATATGTATTTTTGAAACAGGATCTCGCGTTGTCACCCAGGCTGGAATGCAATGGCACAGTTATAGCTTGCTGCAGCCTTGAATTCCTGGGCTTAAGTGATCCTCCCCCTCCAGCCTCCAGAGTAGCTGGGACTGCTACTGTGTCCAGCCACCATGCCCAGCTAATTTTTAAAAAATTTATGTAGAGACAGGAACTTGCTGTGTTGCCCAGGCTAGTCTCAAACTTCTGGCCTTAAACAATCCTCCCACCTTAGCCTCCCAAGCTGCTAGGATTATTACAGGTGTAAGCCAACACACTTGGCTGATAATTTTATTACTACATTCTTTATTGCTACTAAGCCTAAAAATTATTTAAACTCGATTTTTTTCCTCCACATTTTCATTGAAGAAAGATTTTCCTCCTTAGGAATTAAGAGTTGTCCCTTTTTTCCCCTTAGATTCTCCTGAGAATGATATTCCTATGGAGATCACCACAGCAGAACCACAGGTTTCTGAGGCAGTATATGACTGTGTTATTTGTGGACAGAGTGGCCCCTCCTCTGAAGACCGACCTACAGGATTAGTTGTACTATTACAAGCATCCTCAGGTAAAATCAAATTAAGTTTTTGATGGGAACATTTTAGGGCCAAAGTCTATACAAAAGATTAATAAATATCTGTATTAAATGAAAATTATATCAGTTATAGTTTTGTCAACTTATAATTATAGAACTGAATAATAAGGATTGATTCAGATCCAAATAACAAAGATTTTTAATCTGATTTTATCTCACTTTCTTGTAGTGTTGGAAAAAGCTCTTAACAGAGAGATCTCACTATATGGTATATATATGATGGTATATCACCAATGCCAGGTGGCCAATAACTGAGTTTAGCTTTTTTAGTAGTTTAATTGTTCTGAAATCTGAAAGCTTAAGTTCATAACTATTGTTTAAATATTTTAATTACATTAAATGTATCTAGGCAGCTCTGCCCTTATTTCTTGATCTGTTGGAAGCAGTAATTCTGTTTTTTGTTTTATTGTTTTTTTTAGTTGGAGTCTCATTCCTTTGCCCAGGCTAGAGTGCAGTAGCACACTCACAGCCACCCCAGAGTTTACCTGCTGTGCTCCAGTGAGCCTTCCGCCTTAGCCTTCCAAGTAGCCGGAACTACAGGCGTGTGCTACCACGCCTAATTTTTTGATTTATTGTAGAGATGAGGTCTCATCTTGTTGCCCAGGCTGTTCTCGAACCTGTGGGCTTAGGCAGTCCTCTTGCCTTGGTTCCCCAGAAGGAGCAGTTCTTGAAACAGCCTGTGAATTGATGTTTGCCAGTCTGTAATTACAATTTTTTTAATTTAATTTGAAGGATTTGTTTGAATGCTGTCTATCCTCTTTCTTTTTTTTTTTTTTTTTTAGTTGGAGTCTCACTCTGTCACCCAGGTTGGAGCGCACTGGCACGCTCACAGCCACCACAGGCTCAGCCTGCTGGGCTTAGGCTATCCTTCTGCCTCAGCCTTCAAAGTAGCCAGAACTATAGGCGTGCACTACCATACCCAGCTAATTTTTGGATTTATTACAGAGATGAGGTCTCACCAAGTTGCCCAGGCGGGTCTCGAACCCGTGGGCTCAGGCAGCTCACTCACCTCAGCCTCCCAAGGCGCGGGATTACAGGCTGAGCCACCGAGCCCGGCTATCCTCTTTCATACTGAAAAATTTTGAGGTAGTAATAATCCTAACACGATCTAGTCTCAGTGAATTTAATCCATTTCCAAATGGAGTATGCATGAAGCAAAGAGAAAATAAAATTCTTACATATTTCTTCAGAGGATTTTTTTTCTCAAGTGTTTACCCCTAGAAAATGAATATGGTAGAGTGGAAAGGATATTGGAAACTCCTCTGAGTTAAAGTATGGTATTGCTTGACTTAGTCTGGCCAAGTTTGTTGCTTTCTTTTAAATATAGAGATAATATTGACTTTAGAGGATTGTTGTGTTGTTTAAGTAATGTAGTATAAACAAAAAGATTCTAATGTGGGCCTAGTAAATTAGTTTCTTTTGTTACTCTTCTTGTCTAAAATGAATTGATCTGGGAAATATTGATCAGGTGGGACATTGGAATACAGCTATCAAAACCAGAAATGCCTACGAAAAAGGAAATATGTGGGAGTATTGACTGCTTTTACAACTACTTTTCTGCTACACTTAGGAAAACAGTTTATTGGTTTATTGCCACTTGACTTTCAGTTTATTCACCAGATACCATATAATTATCAACTTAGTTTCTTGTTTTATTTATTAATTTATTTCACAGTTTTTTTTTTATTGAGCACTTGGGTGCCAGGCACTGTTCTAATAAGAAACAAAACAAAGTCCCTGCTCTAATGAAATTAGTAAGCTTTTGTTTATTATTTTATGTTTCCTTGGTTTGTTACTTTATTTAATCTCTTTTTAGCAATTGTGTACACTAGCTGAATCAATTATTATTATATAATTTTTCTATACTGTAGTTGTCTTATCCTTTAGAGATAGATGGTAAAAAAGAAGAAACTAACATTAACAAGTACTAAATATCAAGGGTAATTTAAATTGGGAACCATAGCCGATGAAACGTCTGGTTGCTTCTTTTCCTTCTGAGCCTTATTTATACATTGATACTTTTCCTGTTTTAGTCCTCTTTTCTTTTGGCTTATTTATTTTGGTTTATTTATTCTCTTTTTCTTTTAAAATTTGAATGTGGAAAATTTTACCCATATACTAAAGAGGCAAGTAAAATGAATCCCCCATCCCCATGCATCTTCAACACTGATTAACTTGTGACTAATCTTATTTCATTTGTTTCTTCCCCCTAGAATCATTGTGAAGCAAATTTCAGACATCACATCATTGATCTATAAATAAGGGTCTTATTTTTTAAAACATAGCCATAGTCACTCCTAAATAATTCCTCAATATCATCATAACTAGTCAGTGTTCACAATTTCCCTATTGTTTCTTACTTATTTATCTATTTTGCTTAATTAATTCATTAATAGTTGTGGATCCTCTGCTCGTTCTTTAATTAATAGGATCCCTAGTCATCTCTCCCTCTCCTCCCTTCTCCCATGCATTTTACTTTTTTTTTTTTTAATTGCATCATTGAAGAACAGTTTGGATTTTTCTGAATGCATCCCTGTGATGCTCAACATATTCCTCTGTCCCCTCTATTTTTCTCTCTATTTGTGATATTAGTATTGAATGGTGATTATTGCCTAGATGTATTACTTCATCAGGCATTGCAAATCTCTTTTATGCTTTTTTGTTTGTTTTTTGCTTATTAGCTGAAATATACTTCTATAAAAGAAATTTCACTTTATTAACTATTTTTGGTTATTCAGGTTCATATTATACAGGAAAGGCAGGATAGCACTATATTCTTTTTCTTTATGGGTGCTTGAAATATTGTAGTAGTGAGTTTTAAAAAGAAAAGTCTCATATTTTTTCCCTTTATTCTAACACTTTACTTGTGCTTAATTTACAGACTTTTGATTAGGAACCCTTCAAAACACTGTTTAAGTGCCTTTTTAGCAATTTTATCTATATGGAAAGATATTGATTTAGATGCTGTCTCACTATTGCTCAGAGTGCCTATTACAAACATTACTGATTTTGAGAGTTTCATTTCTCTATAGGAGAAGGATACAATGTTGTATAAACTTTCTATTTTACTAATCCTTCCATTCTTAGCAAAGCTTCAGAAAGTCCAAAGTTAAAATATTCATAGTGCTTTAAAAACATATATCATAAGAAGAAGATAAATCTGGAAAGACCTGTAGATTTTTAAACCAATTATTAATGTTTTTGTTTGTAGAAAAGTGTAGGCATTGAGATTAAAAACATAAAATAGGGGGAAGATGGAGCTGTAAAGGAGCAGAGTTTTTATATGTTATTGAAACTAAGTAGGTATTAATTTAAACTTGATTGTTACAAAGAAGATGTTAATTGTAATCTCCAGGGTGACCACTGTGATGAAAACATTAAAACACACACACAAATAAAATAAGTGAGTGGTAATTAAAATGGTACACTAGAAAATTCAGTTAATTACAAAGGAGGCAGTAACGGGTGAATTAAAGAACACAGAGAAAACAAGTAGCAAAGTGGCAGAATTAGTTTTTTTTCTTATCAGTAATTAATTAAAATATAAATGCATTAAACTTCCTAGGTAAAAGGTAGAGATTGACAGAATGGATAAGAAAAAGTGGTCCAACTATATTCCGTCTACAAGAGACTCAGATACAAAGACACAAGTAAGTTGAATGTGAAAGGATGGAAATAGTAACCAAAAGAGAGCTAGCTGGGGTAGTGATATTAATGTGAGACCAAATAAAATTTAAGTTAAAAACTGTAACAAGAGACAAAGGAAAGACATTATATATTGATAAACAGGTAACTCCATTAGGCAGATATAACAGTTTACATACCAAACAGCAGAGCCCCAAAGTATATAAAGCAAAAATGGACAGAATTGAAGGAAGAGATAGATACTTGTAAAATAATAGTGACTTTGCTGGATAGAACAACTAGATAGCAGATCAAAAAGGAAACTGAACACTTAAACAACACTATAAAACAACTAGACCTAGCAGACTTATATAGAACACTCCATTCAACAACCATAGAATCCTTATTTTTCTCACTGGCACATGGAATATTATCCAAGATAGATCATATGCTAGTCCACAAAACAAGTCTCAGTAAATTTAAAAGGATTGAATTATTAATTGAAATTTTTTTATGGCTATGATGGAACAAAACTAGAAGTTAATAACAGAAGGAAAACTGAAACATTTACAAATATATGAAAATTAAACAGCACATTCTTTTAAAATTTTATTTATTTTTAAAAATGTATTTTATTTTGTATTGACTAGTAATAACTATACATATTTATGGTGTATAACATGGTTTGATATAGGTATACATTGTAGAATAGCTAAATCAAGCTAATGAACACATACATTACCTTACATACTTATTATTTTTGAGACAAAAACACTTAAAATCTACTCAGCATTTTTCAAGTATACAATGTATTATCATTAACTATAATCACCATGATGTACAATAGATCTCTTGTACTAAAGAAAAACAAAGAATAATGGAGTGGTAAAGAAATAAAAGAGAAGCCACAGACTGGAGAATAATATTTGTAAATATATTTGATAAAGAACTTGTATCAGAATATGTAAAGAACTCTTAAAACTCAATGATAGGAAAACCAAACAACCCAGCTGAAAAATAGGCAAAATAATTAAACTAACATTTCATCAAAGAACAAATAACACATAAAAGGATGTTTAGCATTACTAATCATTATGGAAATGCAATCCAAAGCCAAAATACAATCAAACACTCACTAGTATTGCCAAAACAAGCAAAAAACAACATTATCCAGAATAGAGAGCAATTGGAACTCTCATCTATTGCTGAGGTGATTGCAAAATGGCACAGTCCTTTGGAAAACAGTTTGGTAGCTTCCTGTAAGTTTAATATGTGCTTACCATATGACCCAGCAATTCCTCCTCTCCTGAGTATTTTCTCAAGTGAAGTATAAACCTGTGTTCACACAAAAGCCTATAAAAACAACACATTCTTAAACAACCATTGGCTCAAAGAAGAAATTACAAGTGAAGTTAAATACTTTGAGATAAGTAAAAATGAAAACAATATGCTAAAGTTTCTATGATGCGGTGTAAATAGGGAAATTTACAGTTATAAATTCATACATTAAAAAAGAAGATCCCAAATCAGTAGCTTAACTTTGCTTGTTAAGAAACTAGAAAAAGAACAAGCTAAATCTAAACCTCAGAGAAGGAAATAATAAAGCTGAGAGCAGAGATAAAGTAGAATCAGCAAGCCAAAAGTTGTTCCCTTAAAAAAATCAACAAGGCCAAGCCTGGTGGCTCAGCCTGTAATCCCAGCACTTTGGGAACCTGAGGCAAGTGGATTGCCTGAGCCCGCGGGTTCGAGACCAGCCCGGGCAACTTGGCAAGACCGTGTCTCTCCAATAAATCAGAAATTAGCCAGGTGTGGTAGTGTGTGCCTGTAGTTCCAGCTTCTTGAAAGGCTGAGACAGAAGGATCACTGGAGCCCATCAGGTCGATGCTGGGTTGGCCATGAATATGCCACTGTACTCCAGCCTGGGCAACAGAGTGACTCCAACTCAAAAAAAAAAAAAGGAAAAAATCAACAAAATTGACAAACCTTTAGATCGAGAAAAAAAGAAACGGTGCAAATAGCTAAAATCAGAAATGAAAGTAGGGACATTACTATAGACCAGGGGTCCCAAACCCCTGGCTGTTAGGAACTGGACTGCAAAGCAGAAAGTAAACAGTGGGTGAGTAAGTAAGGCTTCATCTGTATTTACAGCTGTTCCCCATTGCTCATGTTACTACTTTCTGTCGGATCAGTGGTGGCATTAGATTCTCATAGGAATGCAAACCCTATTGTGAACTGCCTGTGGGAGGGATCTATACGCTCCTTATGATAATCTAATGCTTGGTGATCTGAGGTAGAGCTGAGGTGGTGATACTAGCGCTGGGGAGTGGCTGCAAATACAGATTGACATTAGCAGTAAGGTTTAACTGCACAGAGACCATAATAAATCAATTGCTTGCAGACTGATATCAGCAGAGGACTCTAGGACTGCCATCAAGAAGAAAGCTGCATTTAAAAGAAAATACCAGAGTCCTACTTAAATTGCAGGTTCATTGCAGCAGGTGATTCACATTCTCCAAGCCCACTTTGTATAATATGTGGTAACCAGCTATTTACCGAAGCCATGAAACCTTAAAAACTACTTTACCTCATTGAGACCAAGCACCCTACCTTAAAAGACAAGACTTTGGAGTTTTTCAACAGAAGAAAAATGTGAGCATGTAGAACAGAATCAATTATTGAAGGCTATCACTTCATCAAATGTGTCTGCACTAACAGCATCATTCTTAGTGACTAACAACATTGCTAAAGCTAAGAAGCCCTTTACTATTAGTGAAGAGTTGATCCTGCCAACTGCAATGACAGCAGCCAAAATGAGATTACAGAGTAGACTGGACATAAGCAACATACTTTAAATGTCACTGTCTCCCATCACCCCGGAGGGAACTGTCTAGTTGCAGGAAAACAAACTCAGGGCTCCCACTGATTCTGCATTATGGTGAACTGTATAATTATTTCATTATATATCACAACATAATAATAGAAGTAAATTTCACAATAAATGTAATGTGCTTGAATCATCCTGAATCTGTGCTGCCCCTCCCCCCTGCATCTGTGGAAAAACTGTCTTCCACAAAACCTATCCCTGATGCTAAAAAGGTTGGGGACTGCTGCTATAGACCTTATAGAAATAAAAAAGACTATAAGAGAATACTATGAACAATTTATGCCATTATTAGATTACCTAGATTTAATGAATGATTTCCTAGAAATACACAAATTACCTAAACTGAAGAAGAAATAGAACATTTGAACATATCTTTAACAAGAGATTGACTCAATTAAAAAATAATAATCCTCTTGACAAGGAATTATGCAGGACCACATGGCTTCCTTGGTGGATTCTATTAGTCATTTAAAAAATTGACACCTTTTTTTTCCTCAAACATGTCCAAAAAATAAAGAGGGAACATTTCTTAACTCTAGTTCCTTATGAAGCTAGCATTACCTTGATACCAAAGTCAGATAAAGATATCACTGGAAAACAATAGATCAGTATATCTTATACATATATATGTAAAAATCCTCAACAAAATTCTAGCAAACTGAATGCAGCAGCGTATTAAGAGGATTGTACATCATGGTAATTATATTTTAGCTGCTAGCACCCACCTGCTTCTGTCTCTTATTTCTGCTGCTGCTGCCGCTCTGTAAATGCCTCCAAAACTTAGGGCCTACTGTGATACACCTGATTTTTTTTTTTCCTAAGAGTAGCTGTTTTTCATGCAGACCCCATGACATTTTATCACTAAATACTTCTGAATGTATCACCTGAGAACAAGAATAGTTTTTTTTATATAACTACCGTACCATACCATTATCATACTTAAGAAATTTAATATTAGCCATGTCTAATATTCTTATATTCAAATCTCCCATTATCTCCAAAATATTATTTGTGTTTATTTATTTGACAAATAATAATTGTATATAGTTATGGGGTACAGTGTGATCTTTTGATGTATATACCTTGTGGAATTATTGAGTCAAACTAATTAATGTATCCACCTCACCTACTTACCATTTTTGTTGTGAGAGTCTGTAACATTTTTTATAGCAGGTAACTTTTTTGATTCTGAATCCAATAAAAAATATCATGTATTGCTTTTAGTTGACATTCTTTTTTCAGATTCCTGTAATTTAGAATAGTTTCTCTAGTTCATAAAATTTTCAATGAATCAAGGTTGTTTCATAGATGATCTTAGAATCTGGATTTATTTGATTATTTTCTTTTTATTATTTATTAGAGTCAAGTTAAACATTTTTTGGCAGGAGTATAATATAGATGAAGTTCCTTCCCATGACATCCCATCAGGAGGTTCATTTTATCAGTTTGTTCCATTACTGGTGATGCCAGCCAAGTTTGATCACTTGCTTAAGGTGGTAGATAATCTATAGCGACTCCACATTGTAGATTACATTTATTATGTTGGTAATCTATATTGAAACTTTAGCCACTTACTCCTTTATCCTGTTACTTGATGCCCCTTGCCTGAATCGATTAATGTATTATTTATTGCTGCCATTTTGTTTTGATACTCAAATTTTTTCAGATATGGCCAGTCAGGACTCCAGGTCCTTATGAAACTGCCCACTCAAGTGCTTGAACACGTCTGTGCTCTTTTTTGTCATGCACTATTCCAGACTTACCTTTGGCTTTTCCCCTGGACTCAGTCTTTCTTGAAGGATCTCTGCTTCCTTTTAGTGAGAAATTGTATGTTTGGAAATGAAGTTTTTGATACTGGAGAGTTGTAGCTTGTAGGCTTTTTCCCGTGCTTTGGGAGGCTGAGGTGAGTGGATTGCCTGAACCCACGGGTTCGAGACCCGCCTGGGCAACTTGGCGAGACCTCATCTGTACAATAAATCAAAAAATTAGCCAGGCATGGTAGCGCACGCCTGTAGTTCCAGCTACTGGAAGACTGAGGCGGAAGGATCGACGGAGCACAGCAGGTTGAGGCTGCAGTGGCCAGGAGCGGCCACTGCACTCCAGTCTGGGTGACAGAGTGAGACTCCAACTCAAAAAAAAAAAATAACCAAGTAAATATTGGCATATTTGAAGCTGTATTTACTCTGTAGAAGAAAATTAGAATACCACTTCTTGAGGAAGTCTCTGAAAATATTCTATTAGTGGAAAAGTTACTACAGCTTGTATAGATATTTACTAACTCAGCATTTCTTGATGAATCAGATCAATGTATTGATTATTTTTGGTTATTTAATGAGCTTTTATCTCTGTTGTTAATGTAGTTTTGGGGCAGTGCCGTGACAATGGTGAGCCAAAAAAGTTGCCAATCACTGAAGAGGAGCAGATTTACCCTTGGGATACATGTGCAGCAGTTCATGACGTGAGGCTTTCATTATTACAGCGCTATTTTAAGGATGTAAGTACCCTTTCAATCAAAGAGTACTTTTGTCTGTAAAGTTGATGGTTATTTCTCTCCAGAGTTTATGCTTTTCTTCTATCAAAGTGGTATTCTGGTTTTAAATTCTGAAAGTTTATTTTAAAAAAATTAATATGTGAATAGTAAGGAAGTAGAACTCTGTTAATAAATACAAATTTCATGTATTGAATGTGATACCTTTGTTTTAAATGTCATTTATTATTGTATTGTACATATTTAATTCAATGGAATGATGAACATAGCAGGTCCTTGAATAACATTGTTTCCTTCAATGTCGTTTTTTATAATGTTGATGAGGGAAAAAAAGAAAATCAATTCCCTACAGGGGCCACTGTCTATATGGGGTTCTTCTTAGTACTGCAGTTTCCTCCCACATCTCAAAGATGTGTACATTAGGTTAATTGGTGTGTCTAAATTGTCCCAGTGTGAGTGAGTATGGTTGTGTGTGTAGGTGCACTCTGCGATGGAATGGTGTCCTGTCCAGGGTTGATTCCTGCCTTGCACCTTGACATACCAGAGTAGGTTCTGTTCACCCTTGACCCTGATCTGGAATAAGTGAGTTAGAAAATGACTCAATACAAATTGTTGTAAAATTAAACTTTGTAAAGTGTATGATAATTATACAATTACACTACAGTAAACAATGTGGTACAAAAGAGCTCAGCAAACCTGCATATTTGTGATTGTTTTTAAGTGTGTGATAGTAGAAAGGGCTTCTTAATTTTTGTTTTATAAACATTTATTCCTTGATTTAACCCACAACCACTACTGGCACCATCAGTCACTGATTCACCAAAAATTGGGTAGTTATCTTACTTGTTTAATCTTTCTCAAATGTATGTTCAGCTCACATTTATTTCAGTGTTTCATATTAGAAGTGTTTTGGGTCTTTCTTCAGAAGTTTGATGTTTTTGTAACCAGAAGTAAGCTGCAGGAACTTAATTCTTGTTTACATTGTTTAGCCTATGGTAAAATTAGTTTTTTTTTAACTTTTAACTTTTTTATTTTAAAGATGTTGGGTACAATTCAGGGTTAGGTATTCAAATGTTCATTATGCAGGTACCCTTGTTGATGAGGTGTGCCCCCTCTTCCCCTACTGCCAATCCTGCTTAAAATTAGTTTTGTTTTGCATTGATTTGTTTAAAGTACCAGTTTCCAAGAATATGCTGATGACATTGAGGACCCACCATATTAACTGTATAAAAACTTAGAGTACAAATACTTTATGATTTTTGCTTCTTTTTACTTTTCATTTAAAGATATATAATAAAATTTCATTATGATAGTTTTTAAATGCAAAGTATAATAATTTTGTGGGAGGGGAAATCTTGTAAAGAGAAAAAGGTTGGTTATCTCTTTTTTTGCAGCCAGAATAGTTATTTCTAGAAAAAGTCTGTTTTATAAAAAGGCCCCAAACTAGACTCTGTTGTGTTTCTGTTAGTGATTGTGAGGTTTTTGCTCCTTTATCATTACTTTTGTATAGTTCTGTTATAGCTATTTTATGTATACATGGCTTATTCTCTGGACTATATATTTCTAGAGGTGCAGCGCCATGTCTTATGTTGGTTTTTATAGCCTCTCTTAGGGGCTAGCCCATACTAGGTTGTTGATCCTTACTGGATTTCTTACTTAATTGCTTTGAACATAAGAATACTAGAGTTATAGCTAGAACAGACTGTATAGAACAAAAGAATGAGTATCGATGTGTACTGATATTGATTATAGAATTGAACTGGGTATATTCTGCTGTCTTCAGATCAAATGCATGCAGTTTACAGAGCTGACATATAGAATTTTAGTTTTGAAAGACAGTATATTTATTATACGAACTGGAAGTGTCATATGACACAGGACAGGTAATATTACATTGGAGAGGGAAGGAACCTGAGCTTTGGAGTCAGAGAGACCTGGATTTGAATTCACATTTACATCTTAGAGATTTGGTAAAGTTTTCATTACTCTCTTGTGAAAAGGGGATAACTCCACCTACTGTGTTAATAAATTGGTAATAAATATTTAATAAATTGTTGTGAAATTTTAGTGTTAAGTGCTTAACACTATACATATAGTTGAAGTCTCCCTAAAATATTAGTCTCATATTAGTAAGTGTTTTCCTGCTTTTTTTTGACTTCAGCATACTTAAATAAGACATCTAACAGTTATGTAGACAAATGACTTATTGTTTTCGATTCTAAAAGCGAACTGCTTTTATTAAAAATAAAGATTAATTACATTTTTATAGTAACAGTAACAAGGAGAACAACTGGTTTATTAACTGACTACCAACCATTCTAAAATGATCTAACACCAAAATCTGCTTCCATTTCAGGCAGCCCCAAAACATAAAACAGAGATGAGCAGGCTTCCTGTTATTTTTCTGATTTGTAACAGTAGAAACTTGCTCACCTGCTGTATTTGATTTGTGCTGCTTCACATCTTTAAATTGTCTGGGAAGTTATTTTACACTGTGCAATACAGTACTTTCAACTTTCAGATACTTATGAAAAGTCTTGGCTTAATATTGGAACTTTGTTTACTATCATTTAAAGATCATTTGATCATCTTACATTGTAATGTTTTTTTCATCATAAAGATAAAACTTAAAGGTTGAGTCAGTTTTTTAAGCAAGTAACAATAAACTTATTTGATGACTCAACTCTTTTGACTTATCTGTCACTTATTAGACCTTGTGCCTCATATTGTTCTGGCTGTCCCTTCTATTTACTACTGATTGTCGAGGGTAAATTCAGGTTTGGGCCCAAATGTTGTTTGACAGAGGCCAAATGGTGAAAATTCTTAGATTTTAGGAGGAAAAGGTTTAAGCCTGTTTATATTTTCTTTTTTCTCTCTCTCTCTCCACCCCACCTCCTCTCCCTCTCCTTCTCTCCCCCCTCCCCTTTCTTTTTCTTTTTTTCTTTTATGTCAAAGTCTCACTCTGACACCCAGGCTGGAGTGCATGATCATGGCTCACCATGGTCTTGACCTCCTGGGTTCAGATAATCCTTCTGCCTTAGTCTCTGCGCAGCAGGGGCTACAGGCATATGCCACCATGCCTGGCTGATTTTTTTTTTTTTTTAATTTTTGTAGAGATGAGGTTTTGCTCTGTTGCCTAGGTTGATCTCAAACTCCTGGACTCAAGCAGTTATTCTGCCTCAGCTTCCCAAAGTGCTGGGATTACAGTGCAACCCACCATTCTGGGTCTGTTTATAGAGTGAGGGGGAGGAATTAGCAGAGGAAGAGAAGATGAAGATGTAAGAGAAAGGGGAGATGAAAGTAACTTTTAAAACAAATTTCAAAAGGGTGTATAGCTTGCTTATATAATCTGGGTCCCTTCTATATTGTATTAAATCCTTGTAGATATTATGACATTTTTGGGGAGTTATTCTTGTGACTAGATTTGTACTTTATAAAGCTTTATGGAGGATGCATTACAGGGAGAACAAATTAGAGTCAAAGAGACCAGTTAAGAAACAGTTTAAGAACACCTCCCCCTACTCCAAGTGATACAGACTTGAATGTTACTGTGGGAATGAAGAGGAGAGGCCATCATGTGTTATTTAGGAGAAAGAATCCATGTGGTTTGAGAAATAATATTGTGATAATGAAGGTAAGGGTGTGATGTAGAGGACTTAGTTTTCTTACTTGGTGACTAAATATATTGTGGATTTTTAAAACAAGAGGAAGAGAAAGATTCATGGAGAAAATGACAAGTTGTAAGTTTTTGACATAATGATTTTATGTTATCTGAGGGACATTTCACTGGAGATGTCTGGTTTGCCACTGAGTACTTGTACCTAACACTCAGAGAAGAGCTCTGGGCTTGCAGAGTAGTTGAAGTTACTGATTAAATAATGAAGCAGAGAAATTAAATACCATTCAGAACAGATAAAATAACCAGCAATATAGTTTACACTGACCTATGGTATAATATTGAGAGCTTATATATTTTATAGGCTAGAGAAAGGTTAGTTCATAATATTTATTTTCTTTCATTGTAAGTATAGGTATTTGGGAGCTAAAACTTTATGGTATTCCAATTTTAAAGATATTGCCTTAAGATCATCTATTTGGCTGTTAATTTATATCGTAAAAATAGACACTCCATATTAATATAACAATATGAAATCATGCAGAGGTTTATGTAGATACATTTAATTATGATTATATTTCTTTAAAATTAATGTTTTTGTTTTTTTTTTAGAGTTCATGTCTCTTGGCAGTATCAATTGGCTGGGAAGGAGGTGTTTATGTACAAACCTGTGGCCACACATTACATATAGATTGTCATAAATCTTACATGGAGTCATTAAGGGTAAGTTGATTGGAAAAAGTTTTAAAGGTGTATGTGTCTTTCCAGTTATTGAATCTTCTTACAGCATATATATCCCTATTCCAGTTCATCATCTTTGGTGATTTTGATCACCATATAAGCTCTCCAAGCTCGCAGTTCCTCTTCAACAGAGACCTCTTCAACTGGAGGGATTTTCGTTTATTGAACTTTACTTTGCAGCTGACTTGCATGGTTGCAATTTAGACTTTGCTACTCCAGCTCTGAAATATTAAGCTTGAATGTCCTGTCACATCATCCTATTATATGGTTATTTTCTATTTTATGGTTATTTTTACTCTCATTAATGCGTTTTGTGTCTTTTTCCAAGAGTATTAGCTTTTTGATAGCTTTACTTTTTTGTATTGTGTTCTTACTATCAATTTTATTTATTTATTTATTTATTTATTTATTTATTTATTTATTTATTTATTTTGAGTTGGAGTCTCTGTCTGTCAACCAGACTGGAGTGCAGTGGCTGCTCCCGGCCACTGCAGCCTCAATCTGCTGGGGCTTCGGTGATCCTTCCGCCTCAGCCTTTCAAGTAGCTGGAACTACAAGTGTGCGCTACCACACTCGGCTAATTTTTTTTATTTATTGTAGAGATGAGGTCTCACCAAGTTGCCCAGACGTGTCTCGAACCCGCGGGCTCAGGCAATCCACTCACCTCAGCTTCCCAAGACACGGGATTACAGGCTGAGCTACTGAGACTGGCTAACTATCAATCTTATTTAATCTGCCTCCTGTGATTTTTTTCTCAGGTAGCTATCCCTGATACAAAAATCATAAAACTAGGTGAACTGTTACCATCAAAAATGTGTGGTTTTGTATAACCATGGCTTCCAAATCGTACCTATTGATTAATTTACCTGTCTGATCTGTTTCTTCTCCTGTTTTCCTCGGCACCCATTCTAACCTTTGCCTCCCTATTCTAGACTTTTTCCCTAAACACCAAGATCAGGTTCTGTCTCGTCATATGTGGCCAAGAAAACAGTGTCTCTTATCACACACTCATTTAGCTTCCACTTTGTTTTTCTATTTCCTGATAAATGATTCTGCATCTCAACCAATTCTTTCTTTTCTACTCTTTGAGATAGTAACATATTCCTCCTTCCATTCAGGAATAACTTTGTTTTCTGTGCTCTAGTATTCTTTCCTCCCCAACATCTCAGGGACCTCTATCCATCAGTAATTAATTTTTTTCTTCTGTATTTTTAGTTTTTCTGCTTCTTCTGTCCCATCTTCTCAGCTCATAGAGAGCTGAGCTCAATCCTCTCCTATTCAGAATCCTTCCCTTTACCTGCATTTCCCTGTAGCTGATGTCTTCTTTCTCCTACAGCTCAACTTCTTAAAAGCATGATCTATCTAAAAGCTGATTTCTATCTCAGAAGCAGCAGATTTCTCTTTTTTCCTTCCTATTTCTTACCTCTCACATTCAGTCACTTAACAAAATTCTGTTGATTCTGCCTTCTAAATCTTACTTGTCTATATTCCTCCATCATTATTCCCACTGCTTTTTTGTGTATGCTTTCATCTCTCATCTTGACTATTGAAATCACTTTCTTATTGTTTTCCGTACTCCAAGTCTAATGTATTCACTACATTGACCTTTCTAAAATGTAAATCTGATGACATGTGTTGTTGGCTTAAAAATCTTTTGCTGACTTCTCAGAGAAGGAGACTGTATCTAATAGGATAAAGTTCACTATTCTTTGAATGGCATTTATGTATTTCATAATCTGAACCTGCCTGTTGCTTTAGCTTTCTCTTCCATCAATTCAGCATTTTTTCCATATCTCTATACTCCACTATTCAATCAACAAATATTTATTATCTATAGTGTTCAAGAGACTGTGATAATCACTGGAGATACAACAGTGAATAAGGCACAGTTCCTTCTCTGAAGGAGTTTACTGTATATAACATAAAGAGGGTAAATCAACAGTTGCAGTATAATATACTAAATGTTAGGAGGTATACATGGGCTCTTATTGAAACATCTGCCAGGTGCCAGAACATTTCATGAAGTAAAGTGCCTGAATGGTGAGAGATGAGGGGGGAATAGTTATTAGGGGTCACATCGTAAAAGGCTGTGTGGTCCATGTAAGGAATCTGGGCTTTATATGGATTCCTTAGACAAAGCCATTAAAGTCTTTTAAGCAGTATTATGACATGTCAAGAAATGTTGTGTAGAGAGGGGATTGCAGGGAGTTAGAAAGAATGTGATGGTATCATTTAGGGAGTAAAAGATGGTAATAGCTTATGCTTAGTCATGGCAGTGGAGATGGAGAAGAGGTTATAAATTTGAAATATATTTAGAAGGATAGTCTTCTGGTCTGGGTGAGAGATTGCGTGTGGAGCATGAAGGGGAGGAAGAAATTAAGGTGAGAGATGGTAACGTTGAAATATTTTGGGAATAATAAAGTCACATTAGATATTAGACATATTAGACACATTAGGTAACACAGTGGAATGTTTGGGGAGGCTAGTTAGGAGAGATCAGCAAAGGTGATAGAAAGAAGAAAGTGAATGGACAGACTGATGGGATTTATTGATTTTATATTTGGGGTGGAAAAGGGCAGGAAACTGAAGATGCTACTATGACTCTTGTCTCTGAGGTAGGAGGTAGGAGGTATAGCCTTGTGCTCCTAGAGAGAAGGGGACAAGGTTGGGGTAGGTGCTGGGCTTGACAAGTGAGGAGGTGTTTTGAAAAACTGCTTTTGGATTGTGTGAGAGAGTGCTTTTTAGAATGTTGGAGAAAGATTGTCAGGTGGTATTAAGGGCTCAGTAGAGGTTGGAAACAGTTTGTAACAAGAAGGATTTCATTTTTCTCTGATAGCACTCAGTTTGTGTGCAGAATTGGAGAAGGCATACACTGAGTTAGTTTTGTATGAAGGTTTTAAGTGTGAATGATTGCTGGACATATGGAGGGAGAGTAGGAAATATTGCCAAGAGTTTCTGAAGTGTTAGATCATGATGTGTAGACAGGACAGGAAAAGTCTGATAAACGGGAGAAAAAGGAGGAGGTGAAAGAGGTAGGAGTTGGTAGTCAGAAAGTAAGATGTTTGAATTTAATATTTTCAGATCTGGAACAATTTTGAGTCATTACAAAACATTACAAGAGTATGGTCATAGTAACAGGTACTGGAGTAGAGTGGAGGACGTAGCCATAGGAGCTGAGGAGGTCAAGGAACTGAGGGATAAAGGTATATGATTGGTTGTCCTCATATACATTGAAGTTGCATAGTAGGATGGCAGGACTTAGAGTGAGGAGGAAAACTAATCTAGGTGCCAAAGTCTTCGTTGATTGAAGGAAATGGGTGTCAGTGAAAAGGAAGGAAAAGGATGCTCTTGCTCAATGACATGAGCTGAGGTGTGAGGAATGTGGGAAGATGAGTTGAGGGGGTTTCTGGAGAGACTTTAGAAAAGAAACTAGTTTCAAGTACATCAAGGAAGAGAACGTAGCATTCTTTGAATTAAGGCCACAGGGAAGCTTATCACAGAATGTTCTTCTGTGACCCTTGTCTCAACCTTCTAGTGTGCTCTTTTTGTGTATTTTAAGAACTTAGCTCACAGTCTTCTTGAAAGTCTTTTCTGTTGTTGCATTTATCACACTATAATTTATTTGTCTGATTTTGCTTTTAAATTGTATCTTAAAAAGAGAAAATTTATCTTAACTTTTTATGCCATCACCTAGTACAGCATTTAACAGAATTGAATTTACGAAGATATGTTGTTATATTTTTAAGGATGTAAAAAATTAATGTCAAAAAGTAAAAAATATTAATTCAGTTCTTTTAGTCAAAGTACTTGAGATAGTGAAGTAAGCACTAAATCAGTTGTCCAATCAGTTGTGTTCAACAGTTAGTATCTTAGAAATATCAGTTTTTTTTAGGCTTAATTTACTCTCAAAAGCTATCCTATATCAAAGAACATGAGCACTGGGATAATCTTATGGACTATAAAAACAGGGGTATGGAGTAAGAGGAAGGTGACCTGCTTTTTGAGTTATTCTTTATCTTAAATTCACATTTCTGATGGATTGCATCATTATTTGAATGTTTCATACTGAGAGAAGAGTGAGATGTTAATTCTTAAGTAGTTTATTGGTGAGGACAAGTGTTACATAATTATTATGATGTAAGAAATTATTTGGTAAACATCAGTTAAATGATGGATTTTGTTTATTTCTTTATGACGTATATTAGAAATGTTCTTTTTTTGTACGTTTTATTAATATACTATAAAATGTGATGGTTTAGTTTTTGTTTTTTATAAATGTGTGTATCATACATCTGCATGTTTATTTCATCTTTTAGAATGACCAGGTTCTTCAGGGCTTCTCAGTGGACAAAGGAGAATTCACTTGTCCTCTCTGTAGGCAGTTTGCTAACAGTGTTCTTCCTTGCTATCCTGGAAGCAATGTGGAAAATAACCTTTGGCAACGTCCTAGCAACAAAAGCATACAAGATCTCATAAAGGAAGTGGAAGAGCTACAGGGACGACCGGGAGCTTTCCCAGTAAGCATCAGTGTAAGGCAGAAATATCCTGGTTAACTCAGCTCTGATTTTCAGCTTTCATTTTCATTCAATTTCTAAATTACACTGGACCTTTGTACATTGAGTAGAAATTACTGTCAGAGGTGTTTCCCTTCTGTTTGTGCTTAAATGAAAGTAATAGAACAAGTTATCAAAGGCTATACTTCTCAGTCTAAATTGTTATAGTTGTAATATACATATTTCAGATCAAGAATGCCTGTGTTTGATGTGGTTAGGTTCTTTTAAGATATTGAAATATTTAACAACAAACAGACAAACAGTACAGTCATACACACACATATACATATATACATACACACATAACATGTTGTAATATGAAACACACTCTAAAGATGTTGAAATATTTAACAGCAAACAAACAATACAGTCATACACACATACACATATCTACATGCATACATAACATGTAATATAAAACAGTCTAATTTAACAAATATGCTCATTAAGTACACTAAGATTAAGAAGATATATTTACCTAAACATGCACACATTTGTGTATTTACTGTGAGTGTGTGCGTATTAGACAAATTATTGTGTAATTGACTGAACATTTCACCCCAAGTCAGTCTTTTCTTATATGGGATTTGGTGTAAGTGAACTCATCTTTTATCCTGTCAAACAAGATTTATTTGGTCTAAAGTAGCTCACCTTCTTTAAAGATTTTTGATATGGTCTCTGAGACAAGTGACAGCTATGGCTGGTTCATGTGGCAAATTTATGAAAATTGTGAATATTTGACTTTTGAAGCAGAAATACATACTTTAAACCTAGGAAGATTCATCTCCTGGCAATTTCCTTTCTCAAGTAAAGACTAATTTAGGAGACGGGGCAAGATGGCGACGGCATAGGTGAACTGGTGAGATTCTCTGAACGGACCAAGACTGCAAACTGCTGAATAGACAGACTGTAAAGCAGAGGGAAAAGTGAACAAAACCAGAAGACCCTCATAAGGAAGAACAGATCATTGCAGAAGAGAAATAAAAGCAACCCCACCTTCCCTCAAAAACAGAATTGAAGAGGAGGAGGGAAAGGGGTAAAGGGAGAAAAATCTACAGAAATGAAGAAAAACCAAAAGAAGAGTATGGGTCTCTCCCAGACGCCTGGGAGAGCAGACACTGAGAAAATTGACTTTGGAATACAAACAATGAAAAGTCCCCAGAATGAAGGGTCTCAAAATGCAAATGTAGATATCAAAACAATAATGGAGAGACTAAAAAGAATTGAGGAGACACAAGAAGAAACTAGGAAGGAGCTGATATCTGAGATAACAGTAATAAAGAATACTGTGAATGAAATAAATAACAAATTGATAAGCATGGAAAGCAGAATTACCCAAGCAAAAGAAAGAATCTCAGAGCTTGAGGACCAAAATATAGAAATAACCCAACTCTTAAAAACACAGAAATAAGCCCCAAAAAGACAGAACAAAACCTTCAAGAGATGAGTGACTACCTCAAGAGGCCTAACCTAAGAATAATCGGACTCCCTGAAGCAGAA